ACCAGCTGTTTGAAGGTTGTATTATCAACAGAATCACCATCAGAGTTAGAATCCAATTTTTGATTGACTTCTGATGGTGTCACAGCAACTTTGCAATTCTACAGCTTAAATCTCTTCAGAAGTTCTAGTTCGTACTTCAACTGATGTATAATGATACCTTTCTTCGAGTACAGAATCTCCATCCCTAGGAAATATGTCATTTTTCCTAGATCTGTCATCTCGAACTCATTCATCAAAACTTCTTTGAACTTCTTTATATCTTCTGGGCAGCTACTTGTTAGCAAAATATCAACAACATAGAGACACACCAGAATCATATGGTTATCATAGTGTTGCATATAAACGCCATATTCCATCTCACATTTCTGAAACTTCTGCTTCTTGAAAAACGAATCAATTTTCAAATTCCAAGCTCTGGACGCTTGGCTTCAGCCTATACAGAGCTTTATTCAACCTGTATACCATCCCTTCCTGATTCTTTTTCACAAATCCAGGAGGTTGTGACACATAAACTTCTTCTTGTAATGGACCATTCAGAAATGCAGACTTCACATCCAGATGCATTAAAGGCTAATTTCTATTTGCAGCTAAAGCAATCACCAGTCTGATTGTTTCATGCCTAGCTACAGGCGCAAATACCTCAAAATAATCTAGCTCAGGTTTCTGAATAAAACCTCTAGCTACTAGTCTAGCTTTGTGCTTGCCAATTAAACCATATGGCTTAAGTTTCCACTTAAAAATCTATCTGACGCTGATGGCTTTTTTCTTATCTGGAAGTTTAGTCAATTTCCACGTTTTGTTCCTTTCTATTGCCTCAAGTTCTTCTTTCATGGCATTCAACCATTCTTTCTTCTTGAGAGCTTCTTCAATGCCCACTGATTCAGAATCTACTAACATGGCATACTGAACGACTTCTCCTTCAGCATCAACTTCATTATCCTGCAACATGTCAAAATCTGCAATCCTACTTGGTTTTTCTCTGATTCTCTGTGGTCTTTGAGCTTGTTCTGAAGCTGCACCAGAACTACTACTTTCAGAGTTACCACCTTCATAGTTTTCCCTTTCAGAACTATGACCACCACCAAATTCTGAATCATCATCAGCATCTGGATCAGAATCAGATCCGTTGTCAGAATCTTCTTCTGACTCATCTTCAAAATCTTCAGAGTCAGATTTATCTTCTGAACTTTCTAAAACATCTTCAGAGGCTAACTCTGGTGTTAGCCATACACCAGAATCTGATTGAGACTTGTTACAATCCCATTATTCAGACTCTTTCACCATAATGTCTCTGTTGACTTCAACTTTATTAGTTTCTGGACAATAAAGCTTATAGCACCTAGCACCTGTATTGTGATACCCCACCAGCAACATTACTTTGCTTCTATCATCCAGTTTTTGTCTTCTAGCTTATGGGACGTGTTTGTAACAAACAGAGCCAAACACCTTCAGATGACTGACACTCTGCTTATCTCCAGTCCATTTTTCTAAAGGAATAACTTCCTTCAGCTTCTTTGTTGGACACCTGTTCAGAATATATGCTGATGTGGCAACAACTTCTCCCTATAGCACGTGAGGTAGCTTTTTCTCTTTCACCGTGCTTCTAGTCATATCAAGCAAAGTTTTGTTTCTTCTTTCAGCAAGATCGTTGTGCTGAGGAGTATATGGAGCAGTAACCTCATGTTTTATTCCACTCTCCTCACAGATCTTTTGAAACTCTGTAGAGTTATACTCACCTCCACCATCCCGTTCTCAGAATCTTCAACTTCTGACCACTCTGCTTCTCAGCCTTCACTTTGAACTTCTGAAACTCAGTAAACACTTTATGCTTGAACTTGATGAGTGTTACCCATGTCATTCTTGTGAACTCATCCACCAAAGACACAAAATATTTATTTCCTCCAAGTGAAGGTATTGGAAATGGTCGACACACATCAGAATGTACTACTCCCAGAGCATGCTTCGCTCTTGGGGCTACTTCTGATGCAAATGGAAATATGGTTTTTTTGCCTTTCATGCATATCTCACATGACTTCTCAGGCTTCACAATCTTCGAAATACCATGTACAAGCTTCTTAGAACATAGATGCCCTAGGATTCTATAGTTCAAATGCCCCAATCTCTTATGCCACAACTTACTGTCACCTTCAGCGCCTTCTGTACTAAGACACATTGCTTCAGCTGTTTCTACATTCACCTTGAAAATTATGTTGCTTCATTGTTCAGACTTCATAATCAACTTCTGATTGGAATCATACAACGTTAGGAGATTGTTTTTCATAACAAATGAGAAACCTTTCTCAATCAGCTGACCCACGCTCATCAGATTGCTTCTAATACCAGGAACATACCAAACATCTTTGATCAGAATGTCTTTCTCATTCTTCACTCTAACTCTGACATCTCCCATACCTTCTGCATTAAGATACTTATCGTCAACACATCTGATCTTTATTCTCCTTCTAGTGTCAAAGTCTGTCAGCCATTGTTTATTTCCAGTTAAGTGATTTGAACAACCAATGTCCATATACCACCAATCTTATGATCATTTTCCATCATAATCAAAAGTTATTAGTAACACAAGTTCATCATCAGAGTTTCTCTTAGCCATATACGCTTCTTCTGATTTCCTTTCCTTGTTTGACCTATAAATTGTTTACAAGAGTAACATTGAACCTTCCTTTTGTTATACCTCTCATTTCCTTTATGATATCTCTTATCATCAGAAGTTGAGGTTTCTGATTTCTAGAATCTATCACCACGTCTATTCTGCTTCTGGTCTTTCTTGACAAAAGAAGCCTTCAAAGCTTGTTCATCTTCTCTCTCAGAAGTTCTCTCAGACAGACGTAATTCTTGTGCTTCTAAGCTGTTTTGCAATTCTTCTATTCTCATGGTTTCCAGATCTTTAGAATATTCAATAGAGACAACAATGTAATCAAACTGAGGACTAAGCGACCTCAGAATCTTCTCTATGATTACATGTTCAGACAGAGTTTCTCCACACGCCTTCATCTCGTTAGTGATCAGAATCACTCTGGAGATATATTCAGAAACTTTCTCAGTGCTCTTCATGTTCAAGTTCTCATATTGCTTTCGCAGGGATTGAAGCTTTACCTTCTTTACTGATGCATCACCATTGTAACATCTCACCAATAAATCCCATGCCCCTTTTGACGTTGTTGAATCAACAATCTTCTCGAACACACTTTCATCCACACACTGATGGATATAGAACAGAGCTTTCTGGTCCCTCTTCCTCATCACTCTCTCAGCAGTTCTCTGTTCTTCAGTTGCATCTGTTGTAGCTGATACATAACCATTTGTAACCAGATCCAGAACATCCTGCACACCAAACAACACACACATCTGTATCATCCATCTGTTTCAGTTTTTGCCATTAAAAATTGGTAGTTTGGTGTTCAAACTACTGCCTTCACTCATTTTAAACTTTGCACAGATTTTTCAAATCTTCACACACACTGTTTCCCAACCCACAAAATCAGATTTTGTTCAAGATTTCAACAGAAAAATCAATGAACCAAAATCAAACACACAGCTCACAAACACTCGTGTTTCTCAGGAAAAGCAGAACCAAGTGCTCTAGATATCAATTTGTTGGTGCAAGGTAATGAAGTGGAAGAAGAATGAACAAAAATGATAACAAGACTACTGTTGTATTATAAAATAGAGGGGATAGAATTGGGTACAATATTGATAGCTAGTATATCATATTTATACTAAATATTGAAAATGTCAAAAAACTCTATTAAAGAATAAACATTGAGAATTGTAGATATTAACTAAATTATATTTCCAATATTTTTCGTATATGCAAAATAAAATAAGACCGTTTTGTTAAGGTCGGGATAAATTCTGTAATTAGAATATTTTGAAATTGTTAGTATTTGAGTCATAAATTATGTAGAAAGCGGTGAGACAAGGGGAAACATTAGAAAGAAAAATTATGTCATTTTCAGGATTTTTTAAATGGATTTATGTTTTTGTTGCTGATGTCACAAAATGTGTTTCTTGGATTTAAGCAGTGGTATTAAAGCTCGTGATGCTTCGTGAAGAAGAGGATGATTCTATTCATAATTGAATTCGTATATCAGCCACTAAAAGGCAGTTTATTGGTTGCAAATTTGAAACATCTCATTATTTTGGATTTCCTAAACAGCATTTGTGCTACACTATTTCAAACACACACAAACCAGTTTCTACTTCATATAAAAAAATCTAAAAATAATCTTCAAATTCATCTGATAATCATTTTTGTTGAAATAAACCTTAAAACAACTAATAAGTATATCATAAATTGTTATTGGATATTAACTACTTGTTTCAATGGATATTTCCTCTTAAATTTTGAGTATACTATTTCAAACATCTCCTTAACAGGGAAAAAACTTAAGTACACATAAACATAACACTTGAATTTAGAAACAACTAATCTCATTTTTTTATTAATTAAAAAATAAAAATATAATATTCTCTCTTTCATAATCATAACCACCTGATAATGTCAATTTAAAAAGAAATTAAATTTTAAATAAATAAATACTTTCTGATTGTTTATAACAATAAGAATTTATGTTCGTATGCAATCAGAGGGAAGAAACAGAGAAATAAATAAATAGAGGAAAAAAGAGACTGCTTGCAATACATAAGACATCAGTTTTCTATTTCTACTTCCACACATGTATATTTATAAATAGATATTCGGTCTCATACAACAATCAAATTCAAAGGAATAAGCTTCTTGTTTTCAAGTCACAACATAAATGCAATTTTATGAAACAACAGTTTACTCATGAAACTGAAACATGACAAAATTAAGATGTTTGCCATATGTTCCAGACAATTCATTTGCCACTTGAACATACAATCATATATAGTATGAATAATCATGTTTAAGGGAAGAAAGAAAAGAAAGTAAAAAAACTCAGCCAAGCAGCAGAACTTCCTTTGTTAAAGAACTAATATATAGTAAGACACTCGTTTCAGAAATCAGCAAACACACCAAAAATATCACCATTGACGTAATCATTGTCCACCAAACTGACCAAGAAGTAGCTGCTTCCCACCTGCGACACCATTAGAAAGAATCAAATAGGTCCTATAGTATTTTGAAGAAGGGTTATGTGCAAGCTTTAAAGGATTGTCTAAAAACTAACCTCTTCAACTAATTTCCTGGATGCATCGGCCTCAGGGTACAAGCTTGCCCATCCTCTATACCAACTTTCAAATGCCTCATCCTTCCATGCGGTGAAGCTTACAGGATCTACAACGGTTGGTTGGGATATCTCCTTAGCTGAGAAGACCCCCCATGTCACAGCATTAACATCGGTTTGGGCCACATTAGATTTCCAAACCCCTTCTTTGTTCACAGCCATATAAGTTAGGAATGGGCGATCCTTGCATTTCTCAATAAGTGCATCCAGCTTTTCCTTAGAGCAGAAGAACTCTAAGTATGCCTTCTGGTAAACATACCCACCAGGTCCACCCCAGCCTAGGCAATATGTCAAAACAAAAAACTTAGTGTATCTCCTGTAACCAAATTCAATAATATGGATGACATCAATAACCTCAAATTCAATCATAATTTCACTGGACATTCTCACCATGAAATTGTCACAATTTCATATCTAAATTGTATAAGAAAATTAGTCATATATAATTAGCACAAACTAGAATGCTCTGATCCAGTAATTCAGAAATAAACCATTCATGGATACAAAACAATATTTTCCCACCTACCTACAGTAGGAGAATCTGACTTTTCCCCCATTGACTGCTGGCTGGCTATTGATGGTAAGGAAGCCCTTTGTGTTAATCTTCTCCAGGTGCTCATTTATGATCCTTGTCTCTGGCTGAAGACCATCAAGTTCTGACCAAGGATTGGTTCTCAACTTTCCCAGGCAAAACAGTCTGAATCTCTGATATGTAACAATAAATAAACATTTAGTTGATCTTAAACAGTTGTTAGAATGCTACAAAGCAACACTCCATCCAGGTTCCAACTACAGTAATTCTACCTCATAAATATCTTCAATGCTTTTCAAGGGAACTGCCCATTCTTCAATAAGCTTCTTGTCTTTTGCACGTGGCCGCAAGAACTGCACATTATAAAGATATTAATATCAACACTGAAAAAAATAAAAGTGTGTCCATAAGGCCTAAGGCCCATCCTGGTTGTTATTGTCAAATACAAATAAAAGTGTAACATCAACATATTAAAATCATTAAGTTGTCATCTGCACCTGATAGTCAGTTAATGCGCCATATGATGGGTTACCGGAATCACCCCAACGCCCATGTGGGTACTGATCCCATCCTATAGTCCTGGATATGTAGCTTTTTGGACGATTTGCCCTACAATAGTTGGTTTAGAAAGTGAGAAATACTTTAAACCAATACAAACTCATATACTTGGGAACAAGACAATAGCGTAAAATACCAAAAGATTGGGCGAACATCTTCTTTAATACGGAAAACATTCGTAGGGCGTCTCCAAGGTAAGGATCTAGAAATTTTGGATTCTTCAATTAAGCCAAGGCCCTGCAAGCAATAAAACCAACATCAATTTTAGTAAAGTCTTACCAAAATAACAACAACAAAAAAATGTTAGATAAACAGTTATTCATTCACATGTTTTCACACCCAAAACTCAAGCTTTTGGGATATATCATTATATGAGAATCTCTATAACTAAGCGGAATAGAGTTTGATCCTTATTGCATCCATTCTTCCAATGAAAAATTGCCTTTCTCCACAAAGTGGACCTGTGCATTACCACACTCAAAGCCTGAAGGGCTCTTGCGGGAAGGGGACCTTTTAGATTCAAAATCAGTCATGTGTTCGCAAAACAGTTCAATCTTTCAGGATAGTTGGATAATGACAAATTGGCAATATAAACATCATAAGCTAAAATGTTGCATGAAATAAGAGTAACCATTAGTATCGCCAATGCCGACTTCTCCATATTTAGTGTGTAAAGATGCACTGTCTTAATTCCGTGAGCCATAATTTTTTTGCACATTTCAATTCCCAGGTGTATTCCATAAGCCTTGACAGCTTCTTCATTGTCCTTGATTGGCTCTAAAGCAGCCGTTATCTCAGCAGGTATCTAGATTCATTAAAAATGAAACAATATATCACAACTCACATCTGTAAAAAGCAAACATATAACAAGCTTTTTTAACAATTAAATGTTTTTTCGTGCCTTCTTTGTGGAACCCAAGGTCCTTGAGATTTTATAATATTTAGAAAATTTAATGCTTGAAGGTCTATCAAAAAAATTGTGCTTACCTTTGTTTTACAAAAACCAGTCATGCGGATAAAGCCCTTGTAATTGTTAATGGGCATAACTCCAGGCACAATAGGACAAGTTATTCCAATTTGGCGGCAATCGTTCACAAATTTGAGGAATATATCAGTGTCATAAAATAACTGGGTGACAATCAAATCGGCTCCAGCATCAACCTATAAAAGGATCATAAGCTCAGAATAGGAGATCAAAAGTAAGACAGAAAGATGAACAAAAATTCCCTGCAATATACCCCCTTGGCTGCAGCTATCCCCGGCCTCTTTAGTTTTGTATTTTCATTTTCTTTTTAAAAGGGAAGACTATAGTAACTTTACATGTATCTTTTATGATTTATCTTTTTATTTTCCTACATGTTTAAGCCTGCTAGTCACAGATTTAAACAATTACCTAAAATTGCATTCTAGAACAGATAATAAATAAAACTTTTGAGTAAAAAGTGAGGATTCTGATTTAGAGACAAGACCTTGCTCTTCAAGTAAGCAAGATCATTTTGATAACCTTCCAGTGGAGCCAATCCATCATTTCCTATAACATCTGGATGTGCCTCTGAAAAGAAGAATAATAGATTATGATGGTGAGAAGAGAAGCAGAAAAACATAGTTGAAAGTGATACC